GTTCCAGAGGTAGGCGGCCACGTCCCGCGCGTCCCCCTGGGACGACAGGCCGTAGCTGCCGTCACCGCCGCCGATCGAGAGCAGGACCTTGATGCCGCTGCTCTGGCACGAACGTATGTCGTCACTCAACCCCGTGCAGCCACCCGATGAGGGGTCGCAGTGGCTGGCGAGGTCCAGCTGCGGCGTCTGGCCCTTGCCGAACTTGTAGACGAAAGCGAGGATGACGAACTTGTAGTTCCCTGACGCACACGTATCGGACAGGGACGCCTCGCCGTCGTTCTGGCCCCAGTAGACGGCGATGCCACCGGCATGGCATGTGGCAAGGAACGCCACCAAGAGGGAGGCCACGAGCAGGAATGGAGCTAGAGCTTGGTTTGCCATGGCTTGATCGAGCGTGCCCAACTTGAATAGCTAACTTTAGGAAGTTGTTCTACGAGTAGTAGTGAGTAGAGCTGAGATGGGATGGCGAAGTGTGCATATTCATGTCTCCTTTTATAAGGTTTGCGTTAGCAATATGAACGCCGTGGAGAGAAGTTTGAGTAGGATTCGTGCCGTGGTTCGTCTGCACTTCTGTGTGATTTTTACCACGGAGTGGTTGCGGTTAAGTAAAGTTGGATTATTTATTTGTCGCCGGTAATCCCGATATGCAGTTTACATTCCCGTGATGATCAATGTAATCATTGAAGCTGACTTCAAATGTGATAATCACCGTACTCAACTAAACCACAGACATGCGACAAAAATTAAGCCTTTTCTGGTTCCTGCATACAGTACGGGGCTGTTTGGAACGAAGGAATCCAAAACACAGGAATAGGAAAAAACGCAGGAATAATGTATGATGAAAAGTGAAAAACTACGGGATTTCAAAACACAGGAACAGAAATTTTAGGCTATTTGAAACACAGGAATTTATAACGTAGGAATAAAGTGCGTGGTTCAAGTACAAACCTACAGCAACGTCAGAAAAAAGCTAGATTATGGTCGATGACACACACAAGACAGCGATAAAGTGCGTGCAACTGCCTCGGTCTTCGTGAAGGAACAAAAACCAATAGGTTTAGATGGATGTTTTATTTCCTACATTTTGTGCATCGACTATTCCCTTTCCTGTGGAATGGAACTCTGTATTCCTTCAATCCAAACACTCCTATTTAATTCCTTTCCTATGGATTGTGTTCCTTCAAAATTCCCGTGTAAAATCCTTCAATCCAAACAGCCCCTACATGGTTTACATTTTTTTTTTGAAACTTTCACCGGGGAATTCCCTCCACCTGAATTCATTAACTTAATGATGTTGACCTTGGTTTACATTCTCAACGGTGTCATGAATCGTTGATCGTTTTTCCATTCGTAGTGGCCAGTGATTCCCCTAATGATTGATCAGTAATATTATATATGCTGCTCACTATGTCCCTGAATAAATAGATTCCTAGAGTTGTTTAAGTCAAACTCTTTAAACTTTGACCAAATTTCTTGAAAAAAAGTTAAGACTTATGATATCAAATTAGTATCATTAGATTTATCATAGAATATATTTTTATAAGGTGCTCATTTTATGACATAGATGTTGTTACTCTTTTATATAAAGTCAGTCAAACTTAAAGGCACGGATTCTATGAATTGATTTATTTGAGTACGGAGGGAGTAATTTATTTATTTATTATGCTTATTGTATGGAGTAAAAACTGTTAGCATTTACACATTCTCTCGATATGTAGAGGAGATTTACACTGACGTGTTACAACAAGAGCTGAATTTTTCACAATGCTAACAGTCCTTTGTTTTTCTTATTTACCACCTGATTTCTGGGAAAAGTAACATACTGCAACGGTTTTGTTTTACTCAATTGTATGCATTGGTCATGTCTGCCTTTTTTAAAAATAAAAACACAGAGTGCCTTATATTTTGTTAACTTCTCCTTTAAAATTAATGCATGCGCTTGCACAAAGCTAGCAGAATTTTTTTAGAAACAAAATCATAGATAAAGGACTTTTGCTTGTAAACGATGTAACCATTTATGTGAATCAATAAAGTTTGCCTGAAGTTGCAAAAAAGTGTATGATGATTTAGAACCTAGAGGCAATTATTGTGCTCATAAAGATCGTTCCATGCTATTAGGGACAGATTTAGCACCAAGCTTGGGTGGGCTTGAGCCCCCCTGCCGCTCCTCAGAGCTTGAGCCCCTTCTAAGGCACCCACAAACATGCAGTTATAAAATCTTGGGAGAAGATGTGAGATATAAGATAATGGGAATAAGCACCTCCTACAAAATGCGTTTGGAAAATGTGTAAAGTATACACATATATCAACCAACCCATTTTGCTTGCACACATGTGCCTTCCATCCACAATACACATGTGACTTCCATCCACTTGGAGCAGCTACATCATATTGCAATTGGAGAAGCCACATGTGTATAATCCTGCAATCAGAAATGTCCGAGAGAAATGCAATGTGAATATCACAAAGGAGAACATCACTTAAAGATGCAAAGCCTTTGACAAACATTATGGAGTTATACTTGCACAAAGTGAGTTTCATTGGGATTGGAAAATCACTGGCTCTCAAGTCTCAATTGATAGTGATGACGTTTGGAGTAAATATGTGGAGGTATGCAGCATGATAACCTAAACTATTTTACATGATCATCTGAACTATGATGCATTTAATATTTACTTTTGTGACTTTTTGACAGGCTAATACATATGTTGCTTGTTACCAAAGTTGTCAAGAATTGGGAAGCAATCAGCATCATCTGCTCCAAAGATCATGCCATGGGTATCCTGCTAGGACAGGTGCTAAAAGTGCTCAGGAGATGGCAAATGGCGTTGAGCTCTCCAGATTTTTCCATGGTTTTTTTAACGAACAAGCACGAGACGGTGCTCATTTCATTGATAGAGAAGGAAGATTTTTCCACGGTGCCATCTCAATTGGGAAAGAGTCCAAGAACAAGTGAAACCTTATGTCTTTGCTTGGGGACATTAAAACATCATTTGGCTCTGCTATGAAGTCAATTGAACCTGTCGACTACTAAGGCCTACTTCTCCACATGATTCCTTGATGCACTTGACCAAATACTAGATTTGAGACATGATGATTATATGCAAGCATAAGGTATGATGAATCATGATGATCAAATTTTCAAAGCACTTTTGGGCCTTCCCCTGAACATGAGAAAGGATTGGTTATTAAGACCCCGTTTGGCATGGCTCCATTTTTTTTTACTTCAATTCCATGAATAGCTCCATCGATGGAGACGAAGCCGTTTTGGTTAACCATTTGGCAATAGCTCCACATGCAGAGTTCCTTGAAACGTGCTCTCATATAATTCCATGTAGGGCCCACCAGAACGAGGTGAAGCTAGGTGAAGCCACTATTTTTAGTTGATCCCACCTCAAGCCTCTGTGAAAGCGGCTTTCTGGGTGAAGCCGTTTTGTTTTAACCTGTTTGGTACAAAACGGCTCCAAACGGCTCCTGAAGCCGGTGGAAAAGCCGTGCCAAACGGGACCTAAGAACGAAGAAGTCAGAATGTGAAGCCATTGAAAAAGAAGTCAAGTAGTCTCATCTACTGTAATGTTTGTTGATAGTAATGCTTCCCTGCTCATATTTTGCATTACACTATGCACCTATAGTGAGGAACTGGAGTTGTATTTCAGCCAAAACTTCATCTTTTGTATTAGAATTTATGGGTTCTATGAGCAGACGCACAATGAACTTTGTAGGTGTTCATATTTTTATGCGAATCTTTGGTGCTAAATTTGTGTGTTGTTGGAGCATGCAGTGACCTATGCATATGTTAAGCAACTGCTCCTTTTAATGTAGATGTCACATTATTTTCATTTCTTACGTTTTTATTGACATAAATTATTTAGAATGTCATTGTTGTCTATTTCATATTTCTACTAGCCAAGTAAAAGAAATATTCATCAACCTATGACTCATGTATTCTCATGTTCTAATTCAGAAAAGCATCAATTCATCGATAGTGTGGATCCAAACAGGAACTGAAATTTGAACGATTGTTAGATTCTAGCAGGCAATTTCAAGTGCCATCCAAACATCCAAATTGAAACACACATCATTTCCAATTCGCTTGCTTTGGAATTGGGCCTCCATTCTACGTACACAATTCAATCCAGATATCCAAATGGAGCCGTTAAGGTCATATGCATCATCGACATTGTGCAAGCCCATAAAGCAACAAAGTAGTATTTCCATTTTTTCATATCGTAAATCATTTTGACATGAAGTTTATTTTGAACAACACAATGATAAGGGTCTGTTTTAACTTTAAACTCTGTTTTATGCGGTTATAAAATGCTCTGTTTCACTTAGAGGGATTTGTTTTTAGGTTAAAAATACTCTTGGTAAAGTTGAGATTTTTAAGTTTTAAGTCATTTATGAATTTTAAATATGTTGGCATTTGCCATGTCTCTACATCAACGCCACATTACTCAAAATCACTCTAAATTTGAGCTAACAAAATGGATGGCTAAAAATCAGACTCGAACTGTATGTTTCTTTTTTTTTTTGAAAAAATAATCAATTATGAATAGAAATTTAGGGGCTGTTCGGCTGGTTGGCCGGACAGCCCCTCACGAATCACTGTTCACGTGAACAGTGATTTCAGCAAGAACGGTATTTTTTTCTCACAATAATCAGCTGAAACAGTATTTTAGCTTATTTTTCAGTCCTGCCGAACAGGCTCTTAAGCGGCCAGTTTGAGAAGCATAAGACATGAATACAGATTTTCTCAATAAGCAAACTATAGCACAACTAAATGATCTTGATCCCTTTTTTATTCAACCGTGTGTGTGTGTGTAATACGTCATACATGTGAGAAACAAATGAATCTGCAACACAACCCAACATGGTACAAGAAAATTCACTGCACTCTGTAAGACGTTGTGACACGAACATAAGCACCCAGCCACCCACAAAGATGAACCATCTTTCGACAGTCGACACCATGCAGCAGCGCGTGCATTTTACGGGAAATATCAGACGTGTCTCTTGATGGCGTCGCTGTAGCCCTTGTCGTAGAACTTGGACCAGAGCATGACGCCGCCGTACTTGGGCGAGCCCTTGACGAGCGGCAGCACCTGCGACGTGAGCTGGGCGGCGGGCACGAACCCGGTGCCCGCCGCGCTCTTGGAGGCGGGCAGACCCAGGAAGATCTTCCCCGCTGGCACCGACTGCCACGTCTTCCACGCGGCCAGGAACGCGCCGCGGCCAGCGCTCACCTGGCACGGCTGGTTGTTGTAGAACTGCACCCACACGAAGTCGAACAGCCCCGTGTTGATCGCGCCGCCGTCCCACTCGTCCGGGAACGGGCACTGCGGCGCCGCGCTCAGAAGCACCCCCTTGCTGCCCTTTTTCTTACCCAAGTTCTTGAGGTCCCTGCATGCATGTCGTGCAGCCATGTCAGCATCCTGGTGTACTCAATACGAGCGTGCAGCGCAACGATTACGGGTCGGCGCGGCTCTAAGCCTCCGACTCCGAGAGTTTACCTGGCGAGGCCGTCCCAGAACTTGGCGCCGCCTTGCTCGATGTCGAAGTCGACGCCGTCAAGGACGGCGTCGCCGAGGGGGCGGGACGGCGACGTGCCGCCCAGGTAATTGTTCCAGAGGTACGCGGCCACTTCCCGCGCGTCCCTTTCTGATGACAGGCCGTAGCTGCCCTCGCCGCCGCCGATGGAGAGCAGGACCTTGATACCGCGGCGCTGGCACGACTGGATGTCCTTGCTCAGAAACTTGCAGTTGCCCGACGAGGTTCAGGTCCGGCGTCTGGTCCTTGCCGAACTTGTAGACGAAGGCGAGGATGACGAACTTGTAGTTCCCGGAGTGAGCTGGAAGTGAGAGCTCGGCCTGCCATGGCTTCAGCGTACCCACTTACTAGGAATTTTGTTTTGGTTCTCAGTGGTGATAGTTGATGGAAAGTCTGCTTAGCCAGGTCTCCTTTTTATAGCTTGGTTTTGGCATGGGTAACAACGGCAATGCATAAACATTTTCTTTTTGCGTCGATTAAGATCACGCATAGTTATATGTGAACGTATATCATGGAAGGTGACTTCAAAACTGAACTACAACAGCACATGCGACAAAAAAATAGCGGATTTCCTGTATCGTCCAACTCGAATCTTTGTGTTTGCGCCACAATCTGTGTCCCAACAAGATACATTACCAGAGAAACGCAATAGCTGACGCGTGAGTGACGGGTACGTGTACCCCGATTCTATTTTTACTATGCACAGCTGTATAAGAATCTACATTTACAGCTGCCAAACTTAATACTTGGCAGCTATCGTATTGAGAAACCCGAACGCAGCGAAACAACAAACAGCTACTCTTCCGGTAGTCATACGTCCCAACAAGGATACACCAAGATTCTTTCTGTCCAATGGGTAACGCATAAAAATCACCACGGCCAGTCGGCACCGACCATACCGTGACTTGAAACAGCCAAGCAACGATAAAATGCACCAATTCCATTGGATGCGACAAAGCAAATCAAGGTTAAAAACTAGACGGCCGTAGGCATAGGGCTCAAGAAAATAAAAGACCATCAAAGCCTGTACGGCTGTACCCGTGAGTGAAGACAGCAACATTGAAATACGATAATGTCATAAGTTCGGTATCAAGAACCAGAACATCCATACAAGACCAGGGTTTTAACTACTTAATCCTCGATAGTAGTTGCACAAAATATTGGTTGGTAGGGAAAATTGCAAAGGCGCCCAAGCACTCAAGTCTCCAGGAAATTCTAAGCCTAATTGGAAAGTTTAGAACACCCGGTACACCTTTCCCATAGTGCTCTTCAGGTACAGGCATCTCACCTGCAAACACACAGGACATCATTAATGAGGTGTTTAATCATATATTAGTGCATACGCATGAATTTTATACAGCTGTGAGGAACATTCAGAAGCATACATTCTGCCAATTCTTTTTCAAGAGTGACACGAGGAAGTTGACGCTCATTTGCACATTCTGGAAGATTTGCTTCTCCTCCATACCGCAGTTGCCAACAGCAACACCCATGCAAAGCACCTTCTTTAGCTGGAACTTAACTGTAGCCTTGGTCTCGTTAACCTTGGACTCAAGGGATTCCTGGTGTGTCACCAATGTAGGGAATTTTCCTGCAGTAAAACACAGTTTGAAAGATGAGTACAGATCCTTAACGCAGAAGTTTAAGGAAATCAACTTATAGTATCATTTTATGCTATACACAGCCAACATTGCAGCTCACAAGTTATTATAAAAACAATGGCCTTCAAGATGACATTATTAAATCAAGAACAAAAAACTAACTCATCAGAACTGTTGGTTGCTCCCATGAACAAGATAAATGACTAGGTCTACAAACAACGTATAGACATGGAATTGTGATGATCACCATGCTTTATACAACCCAAGACCACTGTGGCCTATTCCAAACTAGCATACCCTGTAATTGACAACTATCCTCACAAGATTACGCTCCACAAGAATAATAATAGTGTGCACCCTTCTCACAAGATACACTAATATATGAGCACAGTTTGATTAACAAAGATGAAAAAATATATTATTAAGAAATCTTGGGGAAATATGGATCATGACTCTAGAAACATTTTTGCCGCCAATTTAACACAAATAAATGCACAGAGGTTAAACTCAATCAAAAAACTAGTAACATAACAAAAGACTATATAGACCCAACAGACAGAAAAGGAAGAGGTCCTTGCCTGCCTTGTTAAGACCAGGACCAAGAAGACGAGGAATTTGCTTAATGATAGCCTCAGACGCAAGGAAAGCATGGTACTTCTTTGCCAGCTTCTTGACTAGCTTCTTGTTTTTGTTCATCTTCTTGAGGGCTTCCACATCCATACTGTCTAGACCTATTCTCTCTGCCTACATACAGCATAGTACCAACATTAGAACAGATATATCAGAACAAAGCCAAACAAGGCATTACGAATGAACTTGTCTGAAAGGACACTTGTCTGGTTCTATTCAGCAGTTCAAAACTTGTTGATGTCATGGAGTGTTATACTATAAGCCTTACATAGCAAATTGTACTATGCTGAATATCAAAGCGTTTTAACAGCACAGGATAACATTGCAAATAAGCAGAAAGGCAAGGAACTAATGTCGATTCATTTGCTAAATAGTTTGATCATATACAACAGCCCCTCACTCAAGAACTTTGTTAAGCTAATATTTCGCTAGATGATGGAAGCATAACATACCTCCTCAACGTGCTGAGCATCACCAAGCATGCAAACCTTCATCTTAGGGCGAGGGATGTGAGGTAGCTTAACAGAACCACTGAAACGCTTGTCCTTTTGAGGGTCATAGTTCTTGAGACCAATCTGCAGCTCAATGGTTTCAACAAACTTGCGCTGCTTCTCACGGGAATCATTGGTAATCGAGGCAATCGCCTCCCTCAGAGCATCACTCTGCAGCTTACTGAAACAAGGAAAGATGAAACAATTAATTGCATGATGCATTAAGGCCCTTGGGTATTTTTACGAACAATACTGTCTAACATGTGCATAGCAAAGTGTCTTAGATTTACATATATCTTTTGACATAACATTTGTTAAGAAACCAATTCCAGGGAACACAGATGATTGGACAAGGTTAAACCAAAAGGAACAGGAAAGAACTAGCTACCTAACAGAAGTATATTACAAAACTGTACCTGCAGAATATAATAGTCTAATCTAATGCAGCAAGCAATGGGCTAATAAGACAGAAAAATCCCTGAAAACTCCAACTACTATGATAAACAAGTTAGATATTCCCCCAATCCCCACATTTACAAAAGTACAGCTAAAGGAACCAACCAGCACTAAGAGAATTGCTGGCATGCTAATTTCCAGACATCACATTAAGTTACACAAAAGACCCAGCAGACTAATTTCAATCTGCCAAATTCTACAACATAGTAAAATGTACAGAATCTGATCCACTGCCTATGGTGACATTCAAATCTTGGGGCAGGTCAATGAAACAAACTAATAATGAAAATGGGAATGGAAAATATACCATCAAACATCTATATATATCTACACATTGCCGGTAAACAACATAATACATTAGAGGCTCACATAGCCAATCAAGAAACGGTAACTACTACGAAGAGCTAGCCATATCGGCAACTATAAAAATACAACGAGTGCATCACGTTACAGAGATATTCAAATGTTCAACAGATAAAGCAACACACATCCACAGTGAAACAGAAGAGAAGTGTAGTGGTACCTCATGTCGCCGCCACCGGAAGTGCGAGCAACGTTCCTGCAAAGAGACGAGCAAGAGTACAGGGTGAGATTAAAGGAACAACTGCAATGGTGTGGTCACTTGGCATGGGTGTGTACACATGTACATCCGATATTTTTTTTCAAAACAATCGAAGTTAATACGCATAATATTGTATTCACTTGAATTTAGATCAGACCGGAATACAAGGTTTTGCCCAAATTGGATTGTTCATAAATGACAAAAATGGTACAATATATTGCGGATACAAGATACGAACTAGATATACAGTTTGATTACGCATCAACCCTGCTTAAACACCTTGTCATCAGTTCAAAAGAACATGCCAATACAATACCAGATATGCATCTAGACCATTGCTGACCATGCGCATGAAACAAATTCGCATCTAGAACATGTTGCCATTTGCACCAAACAGACCTTGAGATCTCCTGGTTCCACTACTACAGAATTCAAATCCTGATTCCAATACTACAGAATTGAAATCTTGTGAATTACGGCGGGAAGTTGGGGCTCACCTTTGGGCTGTGGTCGGGAGAGGATAGCGGGCGACAGAGCGAGCGGCGGCGGCGTCCGGCTGGGAGCGTGGCCGACTGCCGCTGGGAGTTAAATACCTTGGGGCTAGGGTTATACCGTGGGCTGGGCCGGCTGTGGATCTTTCGTGGTTACGAAGAGCTTCTGAGCTTGTGAGCCCGTCATAGACACGCGTTCGGTTAAGCTCTGAACCATGAAATTGCTAGGCCCAATCCGCTCCTCCCAGCGGCCCACGGCTCGTCAGCCTTTTTTTCTTTTACCGGAAAATATGCCCATAGCGTTGCAACAGGAGAAAAAAGCATTCGACTTGTTCGCTTTAGCTTGATGCACAGCTACAGCGGACGCAACAGCTCAATTTGTATAGGTGAGTTGATGTTGTGATTGGTTGCTGCAACAATTACGAACGAACGGGTCAGTTAATGGAAACAAGGATGACAATGTTAAATATTTATTTATGTATTATTCTTTTTATAAAATTTAAAAGCTATACTTTATTGTATGATGATCATTGTATCCATATAATATAAGTTAATATCGGCAATAATATGACAATGTTGTATTAATTCTATATTGAATTAAATTACAACCTATATAGGATTTTTTTTCTTCTGTGGTGGGGCACTAAACTATTTACTCGAAAATGTATCCTAACTTTAGTACTATCCATGTGTTGGTAGAGTTTGATATCAAAGTTCAATGATTTATTTTGAGAATCCATAAAATATATAATTTTAATATCATATTAAAGTCGGCATTGATTTGTCATCATTGTGTCTCGATTTTCACGTGTTAGCACTTGTCGAGAGTTACACTGATATATGCGGATAACTTAAAGATTTGCACTGGTATGCAGATAGCTTGGAGAAACATTTATTTTGATTAGATTGAATGAAAAATTGCTTAAGATTTCAGTTTACGATTTATTTGGTTGGACCATTGACTGATTCATATTATAGTAATAATTTATATCTAATTAAAACCATCAATTTAGTAATAGAAATATTTATTTATTAAGAGTCAGAGTTTCAAACGTAATACTGTATTTATTTTTATATAAGAAAAACATAGTTCTTTATTAGAAAAGAAAAAACAAAATAAAATCACAGAATAGGGGCAGCACATCCAGGATGAGACACCCGGACGGACAATACAGAACATGCACGAGCCGGATAGGGGGGGGGGGGCTGGGGCTGCAGCAGAGATTGAAACGGAGAAAAAAAAGACACGGATAGAGCACTGGTAATGTGGACAGAACACGGATTATGTTGGATGAAAATTAAAGTTGGCAGAAATTTTATATCTTTAGTATTATTAGGTATTAGATATTAGGTATTAAGTATAGATACCCGTGGGTGTGCGTCGGGCGCAGCGCCTCCTCTCCTCGCCGCGACGCTGCCGTGGTCGCGATTCAGCGCCGTGCCCGAGGCTCCTCCCTCCCCTCAGGAATCAGGAGTCAGCGCCGCATCTCCGGTTGCGGAGACTTGCGCTGCCACCTCTCCACCCTCTTCCCGGCCTTCAGCTGGTGCCTCCACGCCGGCGTGTCGGCGACGCGGGTCCTTCGAAGAAGACGGTTTGTTCTCGGATCGGGCATCAGCCGTAGTCGAGGGACACAGATCATTCGGACGCGGGTTCTTGTGTGAAGTCGATCTCGGGTGCCGCCACGACGAACCGGCTTGTGGATCCGGCGAAAGCGCGCAGCTAACCCCCGGTCCTGCCGGTGTCACTGGCCTCATCGTCTTCGTATTGCCATTGCGACGAAGGTTGGCTCCTTCTTTCTCGCCCCCACCTCTCTTATCTATCGCGTTTGAAATTGCACGCCATCTTCGAATTGAAGAACTATATGTTGAATTATCTAGATTCAATCTTCCTGTGATCCCTTTCTGGGGTCCAACCGAAGAACTGCGTAATATAGTTTTCAGTGCTACGTCTAAGCGAGCTGATCTTGATCTAGATTTGGTCGAGAGGGATTTTCTTGCTGGGAAATCGCTCAATGATGGCCAACTATGCTTTTGCTCGTGTCGGTTAGTTAAAAATTGCTTGGGTGGATCATATGGCTACTGAACAGTTTGGTATCCTCGTAGCTGGGCCTGAACATTGACATAGTCTCTAGAGACTAGAGACCGATGTTACTCAATAGGAGTAATTGGCAGTACTTGCTAATTATCATTGCCATTTTGCAGGGAACGAAGGCAATGAGGTCTTGAACTTTGATTGATATTTACGGATATGAAAATGCATGCAACTCCATGCTAGAAGTCTCTTGGTTGTGTTGGAGAAAAATTCTTCGTTAGGTTTTAGTTGATAGTGTTGAGTGCCAAAATGGAGCTTCTCCCTGTTGAAGTCGTTGGCAACATTCTTTCCCATCTTGGTGTTGCACGTGATGTCATGGTTGCCTCTGCGGTATGCTGCAAGTGGCGAGATGCATGCAGGAGGCACCTCCGTTCGCTGTCCTTCAACTCCGATGACTTTCCACGGGACATGACTACACGTCAGTTGGAGATTGTCATCACACAAACTATATTTCAGACTATGGGGCTGCAATGCGTTTCGATTCATATTGATAACACTCATGAGTTCTCTGCAGCACCAGTGATTGCATGGCTCATGTATACCAGGGAGACACTCCGGAGCTTGTCTTACAATGTCAGGACAATACCCAATGTAAACATTCTTGAAAAGTGTGGTATGCAGAAGCTCGAGGTGCTAGATTTGGATCATAACACCATCACAGGTGTTGAACCAAGCTATCAGAGGTTCACTTGTCTGAAATCCCTTTCCCTGAGTCATGTCAGCATTTCGGCCTTGGATTTGAGCCTTTTAGTTGCTGCTTGCCCAAGAATAGAGTCATTAGCACTTGATGTCCTTGAGATTGTCACTTCAGACTCACAATCTACGATGGAGCTCACAAGCCATACATTGAAAAATCTCTTTGCAAAATCGGTAGGTGTAGATAAGATCATACTTGATGCAGATAATTTGGAAGTTCTGCACCTGGATGCTTTAAATCTTGATCTGTTTGAGCTTAACGGGAAAGGAACACTAAAGCATCTTAAGATTGATGATGTCAGTGTTACTCATTTGGATATTGGGGACAATACTGATCATTTGGAGGCAGTAGACGTGAGCAACTTCACAATAGTCTGGCCAAAATTCTATAGCATGATATCCAGAGCATCTAATTTGCGTATGCTACGATTTTGGGGTGTTGTGTTTGATGACGAGGATGAGATTGTGGATTCAGAAACTATAGCTGTTTCATTTCCTCTTCTGAGGCATCTTTCATTGAGTTATGAATTACGAGATGGGTTACTTCACTACAGCCTTCAGGGATCATCACCACTGGAGAATGTCTCAGTTCTGGAACTTGGTTGGACAGTAATAAGTGAGCACTTTGGACCCTGGGTGTTTGGTATGATTGGAAGGTGTCCAAATCTCAAGAAACTTGTTATTCATGGTGTTCTTTCTGAAGCAAAAACGCGAGAGGAGCGCCAGATGTTAGCAAGCTTTACCTCATTCATAGTCTGCCTCATGAGGAAGTATGTGCATGTCGATGTACAATTTGAGTATGAGTGACATCTACTAGGTTTTCTGGGCATCTTGCCATTGTTCAGTTGAAGCCGTGCCACCAGGTAACCTTTTGCTTCTTGTGGCTTCAAAATATTTTATTCAGCATGGTCTTATTACAGTTTTCTGTTCTCTGTGTCACTGGCTTTTTATAAATGGTTTGTTTTGGGTCTAATGTCTGTCCTGTGAAAGTGTTACTTTGTTTGCAAAATCCTTAGCACCAAAGCAAAATTTACAAAACAACCTATTCAGTTCCAGGTGTTTAGGATTTTGGAGCAACTTAATAATGGAACAATAGTAGCCAGCAAGCGATTAAGCAATTTTAGGAAAGGATCCGAATACTGTAATTGACTGTTTTTTTCTTCATGATTTTGCTTAACAGCTTGGCTGTACCATTTATATTGGAATAGGCAGGAGTTCCTGCCGACAACAATGGCGGCAGTGGGCTGGGGTCAAGCCCCGACTGCTCTGCGCTTAGGGTGAACAAGAGTTGGGAGAAATAGATTGATCTATTGCTTGCATTTTCCATATTACATCAAGGGCTTTATATATAGGCCGGACTACAATTGCCCCTTGCACAAGTTATCAAACTTACTAAACTTAACTAATCCAATCTATTGAAAATATTTGCTATCCAATCGAATATTTGAACTAAATCTAAACCTTCCTATTCTGTCGCCTATATGTGCGCTTGGAAGGACAAGGCATGATGACCTCGATCATACATCTTCTTGGTCTTGACCTGAGCTTGTTCCAATTAAAAGCGGACATCTTCCAGGAACCCTGCACACTCTGCCAAGGTTTGTGGTGCCACGGCGGCGGCGTGAATATTCGCCGCCTTGTTGGAAGGGCAGGCCTGGTGCAGTGGTGAGAACTGTCTCACTGAGTCACCAGGTCGCGGGTTTGAAGCAGCCTCTCCGCAGATTTTGTGGGGGGAAGGCTTGCCTCGGTTTTTCCCTTCTCCAGACCCCACTCATGTGGGAGCCTCCGGCACTGGGTCTGCCCTTTTTTTTGTAGGAGTGGAGCGAGGCAGGAGGGGTGTCGTGGCCATATAACAGCTTGGGCAGGGTTTCCTTGAGCGCTACGTGGAAGGACATGTTGTAGATGTACTCGGTCTCGAGGCTGATCGCCGGTCATGCACCAGCGGTACATCACGATCTTGTTGACCACCTCCGTCTAGCCGTCGGACTAGGGATGTAAAGCCGGTCTCATGCATAGCTTGGAGCCCGACGCCTGGAACAGGGCTTGCCAAAATGCAAAAGTGAAAACCGGACTGTGATCGGAGATGGAGGTCGGAACGCTGTGAAGGTGGAAGATCTCGGCGAAGAATATGCGCACCACTGATTCAGTGGAGTAGGGGTGACTCATAGGATGAAGTGGGGGTACATGGATAGGTGATCAACCACCGTCAAAGTCGAGGGCTTGAGGCTGATGTCGCTCTATATGGTAGTGAGCAATGGCGAGGAATGGAGCAAGCTAGCCGGGGCCAAGGTCTCCGTCTTGTTAGTCTTGGACGATGCGACGCTCTTGTGGAACATTGAAATTGCGGTGGAGGCGTTGTATTGTACCCCTTCATGGGCGTTGTCATGTGCTGCCGCCAAGATCACCGGAAGGTGAGTGCAGCCCACCAAACATAACGAGGCCATCCACCAGGGCCAAAGGTGCGCCACGAGTTCTAGCCATGATGTCGTCGTGCAAGGCCTACAATTCTGGGTCTGTTGTGGTCACCTGCTTGTATGCTGCGAGGAGGTTGAATGACTGTGTCGAGACGGCAAGGCAGGTAGCAGCAGTGTCGTCGGCTCATCGCTCCTGGATGGTGTGTCTGCCACCATGTTCAAGCATCCTTTCTTATATTCATTATTCAACAACATAGTCAGCCCAGGAGCTTACATTGACTCCATGTATCTTTTGTGATGACATGATGACATGTTCCCGATTTTGCAAATTTATAGTGGCTGAAAGACTGCTCCCCCCCAACCCCCAACCCCCCAAGCTCTCTTATTACAGTCTGCTTGTCAATTTTGCATGACATATCGCAGCACCTAGAATAAAAAGTCCATGACGGTTTTGGGCTTCTGGCATTACCTTTACTAGTTTCACAATATATCAATTATTTGGCTGCTTATATGTTGTCATTTTATATGAAATGTGGCAGTATACACTGAGTCAGTGATAGAGCTATAATACAAGTTTTGTTGTATTCACAGGTCTAAGGTCTACTAATACAGTTGAGTCTTGTTAGCGTCTATCAGCACAGCCTTAAGAGCAATAATACTATGCTTCACTGCCCTTCGTATAACTTTCCTTTTCATTTTATGCATTTGGCAGATTTGCTTCTGTTTCTACATCATGAGGACTGGTGTTGTAAATGTCAGCTCGGGTGCATGTCAGATCTGCATTGTTAAAGAAAGTTCGTGCTGACCTCTTCACAGATGTCTGCATGGCATATGCATTACAGTAGAGGCTGCAGAACGGAATGCTCTCCTTTTCTGGAACAAAATCCTCCCCTTTCTACATTATATCAACTGGAATGGATTGCTTATGTTGAGATTTATTGCCCCATGCCACATGATGTCAAAACCTTTTAATCTATTCGTGAGACTAATTTTGAATCAAAATTCTTTCAAATACTGTAAAGTATTTTATTTAGAAAAGGTGTAAATTGACAACTTCATGCTCGCAAAAAGTGTATGGTTGATTCCCCTGTGAAATTCGGCATTCACCATTGCCACTTTTTACCTTGACATTCCACTCCAAGGGATTCCATGCTAAATTGATAATTACTCCACATGGCAGCATCACTGCCTAATCCTAGTTATCCAAGATAGGGTTTGTTATGAAATCTAGGATCAGTGTTTGTGCAGTTATTCTATTTGAACTTTCGTTTTACAGTTGTTTATAACAGAACATGTTCCATGGCGGGTCATATCGAATTTATGGGTCCGCTCTGGCCTGCCAATAGATGCTCCTTACTATTGATGCAGGTTCACTTGCTATTCACGAATTTTCATTTAACAAGTTGCAACATTAGATGAATGCTGGATTTGTTTGGGTTGGGTTGGGTTGACAAAATCTCTGTTGCACCATTATGTTTCTGATTTGTTTGGGTAGAATCAGTTCAACTATCATTCTGCATGGACTGCTTAAGTTCTGTTCCACCCTGATCTGTTCTCCATTGCTAAACTAATCCGTTGGCTGCTATTATGAGAATCTCATGTTAATCGTCCTATTGAAATATGATCCCCCCTCCCCTGTTGACCTGTCACCTGTTCCATAAAATATGATGGGACAACTCACAGTGTTGATCTGAAAGTTCAAACTGTTGACTTTTTCTGTGGCAGTTGCTTTGCTATACTAGTTTAGAGGTGAGAATTTCGTAGTGGCATTGGCATCAGCCAGTAACACACTAGCACAAAATCTTTCTTTTCACTCTCAAAGTCTAGTGGATGAAAAAAAAAAGGATGCAAGCCGTGGAAGCATTTGGATTAATCCATATTCCGGCCACTGAGCGTGAAATTCCAACTGGCAAGTCATGTCAAAACAAAAAAGGTTCCAGGGAAATTTAGGAGACAGAGAACGAGATGTAAGTGGTGCAATCCAAGACTATGATGTCGCTGCGAACTGCGATGTATATAATAACTGAAAATTACCATGTCTCGTTTTCGCTCTTGTAATTTGCCATTGTTGGACGGCACACGGCAGAGAACGATTCGCCAGAACTTCATGTCCATCCCCCCTCTTCTTGCGTGTAGCTCACTTGCTGATTCCCCAATGTTCTCTGCCCAATAAAAAACTGGAGACGAGACTGTACAGCGCAGGCCTATTCTTGCCAAAAGATTTGCAAAATCTACCGAATCTCTGTACAACGAGACTGGCGACCTTCTACTGGCACTGGCTGGGGTAATACTGTACAGCATAGTATTTTTTTTCCCTCCTGCGGCCCTTTCTCCGTACGTACTGTTCAATGATTCACTGAAGAGTCTGGCATTCGGCACATGAACAGGTAAGCCTTTTCTAGCTTTAGCCTTGACCGAACCCGGTTGAACAAAGACTTGCTAGGGAGAGAAACAGGTGATAAAGAGACTACTGCTAGTAGTGAGAGAAACCAAAAAGAATTTTCCAGAGAAAAATGAGCTTGGCTTGGCTTTTGCGGCTCATGCATGGATTATTAAGCAATTTGGTGAAGTGACCTGAGGAGTTGGCCAGCGAGTATAAATCCAACTTCTTTTGGAGTAGTTTATGATGCGCTTTTTTTTAGCATTAGTTTATGATGCGCTTGAGGCCCTACTTAGGCAAAGGATTAGGCACTAATGACCAGTCAGCAACTTGGCCACAACTCACACAAATGTGTTTAGTGTGATCCCTATCTGCATTTTATCCACGATAACCTCAGCATTCAGGAGGGGGGGAAAGGGGGAATGGCAGCCAAGATGCCAGAGTGAGGGCTTCTCCAAGAATTAATTTCTCTGATGAGGAAATACCGTTTTTAATATTTGGTGCATGACAATGCACTGATGTTGACCCATGCAGACAGGGATAATCCCAAACAAACCCATTTCCAAGCACCTACTAGAATTATGTATGTTCCATACCCCCTAGGATTTTATATTTTCACACTGTAGGTTGTATCCATATCATATTTTTCTGGTGCTTTGGTTAGGGTTGCTTCAGACTAAACAAAGCTATAGTTGCTTGTGGCAATTATAGATGCATGCATGTATTATGGAGTGAGGGCATAGAGTTTGACGAATCTAATCAACTCCCCTGTCTCTCCTAGTCCTAACTACGCTTCCTCCCTCTCTGATCCGCTCTTCTTTAACATGCATGATAGGAGAAGAGGAGATGGATGGAAGTGTAGAACAACTTCTCAAGCTCAGCCCCATTCTTTTTAAGCCTGTGTTCCTTTCTCCCTCTATTCTCTTTTCTTTTCCCCTCTTTCTTCCCTGCCTATCTTCTCTCTATTCAGTGCATGTTTAGTTCTCAAAAATTTGCAAAATTTTGCAAGATTCCCGTCACATCGAATCTTTGGACGCATGCATGAAGCATTAAATATAAATAAAAAATAAAACTAATTACACAGTTTAGACGAAATTCACGAGACGAATCTTTTAAGCCTAATTAAACTATGATTGGACACTAATTACCAAATAACAACGAAAGTGCTACAATACCCTTCCCAAAAAAATTCGCTAACTAAACCAGGCCTCAATGCTCCTTTTGTTGAGTACTTGCCGTCTCAGAGGCGAGGGGCCAGAGGGCGGCCAATGATAGGTGAAAGGTGGTTACAAGGAGTGGAGTAGGAGACAGAAATGCTGACAGAAAAGCCCTACCACACCCCTCTCTCTGTGCATCTCCCTCCTTCCCTCCCTCTGCATCTCCCCTCCGTCCCCAACAGCCCCCCCAGCTAGCTGTTACAAGCCTGAAAAAAGAGACGGCAGGACGTGTTCAAAAGGACAAGATCTTCTTTGCAGTACAGTGGATGAAACTCCAAGGCTGATTCAATTCGCCAGTGCTTCAAACAAGGGAAAGCAGTGTGTGAGAGGAGAGCTGAGAAGAGAAACAAACAAAGAGGAGGGCTCTCCTCTCTTCTGTGCTTGCATGCTTTTGCTAGAAGGATGGTATGCACGCAGCATCTATCTCCTTTCTCTTGCTCTCTGCCAGTCTGCCTCCCTTCTTCTCTTTTATATTGTCCATCGCCACCGCTCACAACTCTTCCTGCTGGTCTCTTGTTGGTCGTAGAGCTAGCAGTGGCCATGGTGCAAGGCGAGGAGAGTTCTTGGAGGATGGAGAGGGCAGCTCTGCCACTCAACCAGGCGCTCGCGTATGGAGTTCAAGCCCACGTCGCCGCCACCGCACCGCCTTCCTGCTTCCTGTACTGCCTCTCAGCATCTCTCTCTCTCTCTCCCTCAACTTGTTACTTCGCGGTTTGTTTTTGATCCCTCTGTCAGTCGTCTTCTACTTCGCCTCACCCAACCCAATTCCAAGAGGCCGCCGGCCGCATGCAAGACCACCAGAGCTCTGCCGTTGCCTGCAACTGCAACCTTTTCCGCGTCGCAAGACTCACGACTAGCTCGCTCCGCTCCCAGCACTTGCCGTGTTTTCAAATGCTTGAGTGCGCAACATCTTTAAAGTTTTTTTCGCCCTCCTTTTATCCGTCTTTATAACAGACCGATTCCACAAGCTTATGCCGTGCCACTTTGGTTGGATTACACCTCTGCCCACGCACCAAAATTTTTCTTAATGCTCGAGGCCTGAATAATCCTGCTAGTGCGAGTGATTTGTTTGGGCACCGAGATCGATCGGCACCATCTTTTGGCCTTGTCATCCTTATCTGCTGTGCTGCCTGCCCCAGCCACATCCACAGCTACAACTACAAGCCTCGCTCGTGCTTTAGGCAGTCTCGGCCTTTCCATTCTTGAAAAGTTTTTATCTGCTACTAGCTTCGCCTTCGCCTCGCCTGTAGCGGGCTAGAGCTTAGGGGGCCGGGCGGGCGATGACTGATGGGTTCTGTGTGCGCTAACTGCTTGGGCAGGGACTTCCAGCCTGCGGCGGCAGCCGCTGCCTACTTCGGGTTCGGGGAGTTGGAGGAGGCCCTCATCCATGGCGGAGGCGGCGCGGCCAACGCCGGCGGCGTCGATCCCGGCGTGATCATCAAGAACGACGTCGCGCAGGCAAAGTGTAAGCTTTTTTTTTTCTTCATCTTCGTTCTGTCTCCGGAGTCCGGACCTGGGCTCTACTTGCCAAAAAGGCGCGTTCGTTTCTTGCTCGGCTGCGCACGGGCACAGCGCCGCACAGGGCGAGACATGCCTCGCCTTTTGTGTTCCTGCCGGTTTCCATTCCTATGCAAACAGTGTGCATATGCAGCAGCTGCACCTGCATATAGTGGTGCGATGCCCCGATGCCGATGCCACAATCATGGAAATGTCTCGTTTACTCTCCTCGCCTACTGTTTGCATTCCTCTAGCCTTAGCTCCTCTCTCTCTCTCTCTCTCTCTCTCTCTCTCTCTCTCTGTGCAAGCTCATGGAGGAGGATGGAGAGAGGGAGAGGAGAGAGAGATGCATGAACAGGGAAGGAATCGACACTCGGTAAGGCCACCGTGTTAATTCTCTTTGTATGTATGCATGCAGCAGCGGCAGGGGCAGGATATCTCGCGGGCGCTGGCAGGCCCCCCACGCTGGAGATCTTCCCTTCGTGGCCAACGAGGCATCAACAGCAGCTACACAGTGTAAAGGCCCCGCCTCCTCCTCCCAATCTCCCATGATCACTGTGATTCATGCATGCTGCATGCATGCACGCATTGATTCACTCATCGCCTCGCTTGTCTCTCGTCGTCTCCTCTGGGCTCTGGCTCGTCATCGTCGCTGAACCCAAGAAAAGATGTGGCTGTTTCTTTGGCGATTCGCTCTCTGTATGTGGTCCGCACCTGCAGGCTGCAGCCAGCAGCCACGAGGAGATGAGGCGAGCCGAGCCGAGCCAGGGGTGGTAAAAGAGGATGAAAACGAGAGAGAAGCAGAGAGCGAGCGATGCCCGTTAATTGTTGGCTGCCGATCGGTTTTTTGACATTACCGCAGCAGCACTAGCTAGCAGCAGACATGGCATAATTGCTGAACTGTTGCTGTGTAATTGCTGAACAGGGGAATTCGCAGTCAGTAGGGAGCACCGCTGACTCGAGCTCAGCTCAGAACACTACAATGTCTCAGATGGAGCTGGTGTCCCCAGCCTCCTCTGCGCCGCGGCAGGAGGTCATGATGGTGACCACTGATGATTACAGCTACAAGCCAGGCCTCGCCGCTGCGCCCGCTGCTGCCGCCCCGCCGAGCTTTCAGCAGCACCACCCGCTCCCGCTGCAGCTGCACGGAGACGGAGGGGGAGACCATGACAAGGTACTACTGCGTCCTCTGCCTGACTTGCCCTGGGCGGCTGGCCCTGGCCTGCCGCACCAGTGTGTCCAGTGCACCGCACCACAGCACAGCACAGCAGCGCAGCGCCACACCTTCATCTTTTCCTGGCACAGCATGCACCCGTCCGTAGTACTAGCATCCCCTCCTACAGTCCTACTACTAGGTAGAGTAGACGGCTAGTTCCAGTACACCAGCTCCATCCAACCGACAGCCGCCGAGAGAGAAGAGCTCCATCCAACACGACTCACCAGTCTCTTCAGAATATTGCTGTCGAATCGTTGAAAAACTCGCGGTACGCACTGTGGTACGAAACATGCTGTTCTTTCATGTCACACACACCAACGCCGGCCGAGGCGATGCACGTACGGCAAAGCCAGCACTGTGGTGTACGGTACCCCCCACCCCAGCAGCCACTCTGCTGCAGCTTACCTCATGGCCATAGTATCTTACAGTATAGTTGAGGGCCACTGGGCCAGGCCTGCCTCTAAACACAACGCGGCATTCCACTCCATGCATGCGTGTTCCTTGCGCGGGAGATGTCATGTGGCCTCTAAATAGAAAGCCAGCCATGTCCATGATTGCTTGATGCTTGGGGGAAATTAACCAGGCAGTCCTGGATGATTGGACTAGTGACAGCTGGTCAATCCTACGGAGAGGACGCTAAACGATGGACAGGGTCATCCCTAACCTCCCTTTTGTCTCTCCCTGCTGGGTGGATGGATAGCAAAACCCCATCCATCTTATCTCCCTGCACTGCACCTTGCCGCAGCAGAGCCGTGGCTGCCAACAGCGGCTGTCCGGCTCACTGAGCTTTCGGGGACAGCTACAGCGAACAGGCCGAGTATTTGTGTTTGGATTTTGGAGGAAGATGGACAGTGGCAATGCTGCTGCATCAATCGACGATATAGATGATGGACGACAGGAGCTTTGGCTCCAACGTGCACCGGCTTGTGTTTTTTCTGTGCCGGCCCTGTAGTTGCCTTTAGTTGGATGGCGAGATGGTGTGCACTGTGTTGATGTGTAGGAGAAGAGAACGGATAGGGGTACTACTATACCAGTACACGCATGCTCTAACTCCGCTGGCTTTTTCGTGGTGTCCTTTGCATAGAGGAAGCATGGATCCACAAGAAAAGATGGCAGGTTGGTAGATGCCAAGGTAGGATATATAGCTCTCTGCCCTTTGTTGGCTTGTTGCATGCATGCATGGCTACTCCATCACTTTGCATGGACCTGCATCTATCTGTTTCGTTTTGCTGCCACTCACCATTGATGAGAGTATTTGAGTTGAATCGCTGTGAATCCTTGCTTGCAGACGGAACGGCGGCTGGCGCAGAACAGAGAGGCTGCGAGGAAGAGCAGGCTGAGGAAGAAGGTGCATGACTAGAATCACTGCCAGTGCCACCCATGAACTCATCAGTGATTTTGTTTTGTTTCAATCAATCAGCAAAAAAGAACGCATGCATGCATGGTCCTGGGATTGCTGAGAGTAATCTACTCGTCCTTTCACTGCAGGCTTACGTGCAGCAGCTCGAGACTAGCAGGATCAGGCTTCAGCAGGTCGAGCATGAGCTCCAGAGAGCACGGTCACAGGTTCGTTCCAGTCCGAACTCCCAAACACGTCTGATGACCTACCTGAATGCATCGGATCCAAGTTCGTATCATTCAGAACTTTGATATGACATGGGTTTACCGTGGTCCAGGGCCTGTTCGTTGGAGGGTGCAGCGCCGCCGGGGACATGAGCTCTGGTATGCAGCACCGGCCGTCCGCTTTCTCCATTCATAGTACCACTGCTCCAAAGCTTCGAGCTTTTTAACCGTGCCATGCAGCAGCTGTGGCCTGTAGCTGCCGCCGCAGGCCACGGCGCAGGCGCAGTTACCGAGATGATGCATGGCCAGCCTGCCTCGAGTGGCGTGAAAAACGTGTCCTGCCAGCCAGTAACTCCGTTTTTACCGTACGACGTACCCATGCATGCAGGCGCCGCCATGTTCGACATGGAGTACGCGCGGTGGTTGGACGACGACAGCAAGCGGCTGGCGGAGCTCCGAGCCGGGCTGCAGGCGCAGCTGCTGGACGGCAACCTGGGACTCATCGTGGAGGAGTGCATGCAGCACTACGACGAGCTGTTCCAGCTCAAGGCGGCGCTCGCGCGCTCCGATGTCTTCCACCTCCTCACCGGCGCCTGGGCCACCCCTGCCGAGCGCTGCTTCTTCTGGATGGGCGGCTTCCGCCCGTCTGAGCTGCTCAAGGTATGTACGGTACCACTGCGGCACTGCGTGCCATTGCCATGGCGTCCGTCAGTGCAACCCCGCCCACCCAGTCAGAGGCGGCGCGCCGTCCTGAGCCTCTCTCTTTTTCTTTGGCATGCAGATCCTGATACCGCAGCTGGACCCGCTGACGGAGCAGCAGCTGCTCGGGATCTGCAACCTGCAGCAGTCGTCGGAGCAGGCGGAGGAGGCGCTCGCCCAGGGCCTGCATCAGCTGCACCAGTCCCTGGCCGACACAGTCGCCGCCGGCACGCTCAACGACGGCGCCGCCGCCCCCAACTACATGAACACCATGGCCGTCGCACTTGACAAGCTTGCCAGCCTCGAAAACTTCTATCAACAGGTCACCGTCTTTTTACTCTCCCCCATTTCCTGCATCATTCACCGCCACCCTTAAGATCGTATTCTTACTGTAGATCATGATCATGGTCAGTAAATTTTTTTTTTACCAAAAAAAGAATTACACGGCGAGGAAAAGCTATCTTAAACTTTCAAGTACACTAGTCCTTCCCTGTCAGAACTGCACAGCAACGTAACAGTAGCAATGCAGCTGGTCCTCGTCCTACAAGCTACAGGGTCCTGTCCTGCTTTCTCCATGGCAGGGGCAGGCCAACCTTTTGTCAGAAAGCTAGCTTAAACCTGCAGATAAATGGATAAGCATCATTACCACTTTCCACCACGCATAATTAGCTTGTAATTAAACAACAAATAAGAGGCTAGCTAATGCTGCTGGCGACAATTATTGTATGTTTTCTAGTGTGTTGGTAGGAACCAAAGAGGGCAAGGCTTTGATCCTTTTTTTTTTTTTGCCCGTTCACTTCGCTGAAAAAATAAGTCGAAATACTGTTCCGGTTGATTTGTTGTAAAAGAAAAACACCATTCCAACCGAAAAAATAAGCTGAAAAAAACGGATTATAAGATAAACGAACAGGCCGAAGATTTGGCGAGGCATTGTTCCTGGCCAAACATGTGTACTGGCAGTACATACACGTACACACCTGTATCTTTCTACAGGAAGTCAATGGCCGGATACTTACAGTTGGCACTGTGCATAAATAATGCCCCTTGTGTGTCTTCTCTGGCCGGCCATCTCCTTTTTATTCCATTTTTTTAGAAAAAAAAAGTCCTTTTTATTCTCTCCCTTCTCTGTTTGCTGGTGCCTCTGCAGAACAGAGGGCCCACAGCCAAAATACTAGACTACTACATGGTGTTCCATTCCATGCCTTACAAAAGTTGCAAGGTTCAATCCATGCACAGTGGTCAGGAAAAGGACACAGACGCCTAAAATTCAGCCCACCGCGTTCAGCTGGTACAGTTCTAGTTGAGCTGGTATAGTTTTAGGGGTGTTTGGTTTTTAATCAATGCAAAAGTGGTCAGGAAAAGGAAAACTAATTACATAGATGGAGGCTAATTCCAGAGACGAATTTTTTAAGCCTAATTAATCTATCATTAGCACATGTTTACTGTAGCACCACGTTGTCAAATCATGGACAAATTAGGCTTAAAAGATTCGCCTCGCAAATTAGTCGCAAGTTGTGTAATTAGTTTCGTAATTAGTTTATATTTAATACTCCATGCATGTATCAAACATTCGATGTGACATGAATTTTAGGAGGAGAGTAAGAAACCAAACAGGCCTTTAGTTTGTTTCTGTTTATTTTAATTTATTCTCTCTCACGTAATATTATTTAATCATAAAAAATCAAAAATACTGTACAGCAGACCATCCGAACGAGCTGAAATGACGGGGCTTGCTGTTCCATCAGAAGTTGTTAAAGAAATGATCATGCCTTCCTAAGGATTATCTTCTCTCTCAGGGGGTAAAAGCTGATTGCGACCTCCATTTTGTTAGCTTGTTTTCAACTTTCCTGAGCTTTGATTCCTTGTGGACAGAACTTTGCTAGAAGGCAGATGTAAGAGTATACTTTTAGCATTTAAAATATGTTCCAGAATAGTTGCACTTCTAGATCATAGACCACCTAGTTTTAGTAGGGTTTGCTACTCTCTACATTAAAGTGCAATTATTATGTTTTGATACAGGTGTATATATGTAATTTCATAGTAGCATTGATGTCTCCAAAACATTCTAGAAATGCACTTATTTGAGGATGGGGGAGCATATTTCCTAGATTCATGATTGGAGCAATCATTTGACACAAAGCCTTGCAATGAACAAAGTTGCTAGGAGCGCAGTATATTTGGATGATAAAGGTGCATTTGAAAAATACTTGCAATAAACACGATCACAGATGATATACCACCCTCCCTTTTTTCTCTTTTCAGGATAGAGGCTGCTTATTGCTAATACTTACATTAGATTTCTTTTCATGCTATAGAAGTATACAAAACTATAAGGAAATGATAAGGACAATACACCATCAGTATGAAAAAAAAAAATTGCTACACATTTCATTAGATTAAGCTTAAGCAGCAGCTGGGAACTTTCAGCAATTGTCCAGGCTAGAATATATCTGGGACAAGACAGAAAGACAGGAGGAGAATAGATGCATCTGCATGATCCGAGAATGCCCTGTCATTCAAGATATTGGAAGCGCCAATGTGCAGCATAGCCAAGATATGAAACAACACTAATGTGACATCTCACCTTTCTTTTTCATGTGTTTGTGCTGTTCCAACTGCAGGCCGACAATCTAAGGCAGCAGACGTTGCATCAGATGCGCCGGATCCTGACCACTCGGCAGGCTGCGCGGTGCTTCCTCTCCATTGGGGAGTACTACAGCCGCCTCAGAGCTCTCAGCAACCTCTGGGCTTCCCGTCCCCGCGAGTAAGATTCAGACTTGATAAAAAAACTGGACTCTCTTGTTGTGCACTGTGGCTGTTCCCAACCATGTCTGAATGATTGAATCACATGTATTCCTTCGTTTTTCAAAGATAGAATCACTTGCCTTCTGATTTCATTATTATATGAAAAGTCGGAAATTGACATGGCTGACAATGGCATGCATTTCTCCTGTAACAGCAACTTCATCGGGACAGAGAGCCTCAGCCCCACAGCAACGGAACTGCAAGCCCTGCACCACCAGCAGCAGAACCAGTTCACCGGATTTTGAGGCCTCACCTGGTGCTGGAGGGTGTAAACTTTGGCGGCGAGGGTGATGTTACAAAGATTAGAGGTTTTTGGAGGGAGATGCATTGTAATGTTCTATCATTAAAGTACTGAGAAAGCAACATCACTAGGCGAAAAGGGTAGGGAGAAGGAATTGCTGTGGTGCGACGTTGGGTGGCTCACTTGTTCATATGGCTCTTGAACTGATTGAAGGATTAGCACCGCAGAATTTTTGTGCGTAGCAGGAGAAAACAAAGCAGTGGCAGAAGATTCTGGCTGCTCACTTGCCAGAGAGGACTAATTGCAATTAGAGTGACAGAGTAACCATTAAATACCTTTCCAAATCAAGCATTTTGGCAAACACATTTTCGGTAGTAGATTATTTCCAAGGATAATACCGCATTCGTGGACAGACAATAATCTATCATCTGTAGTTCAATAAAAGACAATGCAACAGCTACCGGTGGGAGCCGGTTTCCCGTCCTACATTCTGCTGAGCACTGATGGAAAAGAAAGAAACTGTGACATGGTAATCTTTCTGAAGCCAATGATATACAATAAAAAAGATGACATTAAAGAAACGTGGGTAGTGAAACAAGAAGAAAAAATGTTGTACTCCCAACGAAGAAGACCGTAACGCTTAAGAGGGGAGTGATTTAGGTAAATTAAAATTCTACTTCTAAACTATGATCTCTTTTTCAAACCTTAGCAAAATATATACAAAACATAAACTATCTAAATGTGCAACTACGATTTTTCTAGTGTGTTGCTATCTCTACCGTAAAAGGAGTAATGTAAACAATGTAAATGCGGAAGCTAAAAAGTAAGGTAGAGATATGCAAACTCCCGTCGACGACTTCAGTATTTTTACCAAGGTATCGAGAAACGCGCAAGCTTTCCCTAGTCCTCGTTGAAGCCCCTCGCAAGGAATCCCTCGCAAGGGTCAAGCTCCCGGTCGGGTAACTCCATGGATAGCCTCGGGCCTTCCCCACGCGCAAGTGGGTCTCCGACGTGCCTTTTCGGCAAGCCTCTCCCGGACCGCTCCCCGCCGTCTTCACTATCCAGTTTCCGGCCGAAACGCCACGGGCCTTGTTCCCTCCGATACACGGTGGCGGCCACACCACAAACACGGTTGGTGTGATCTCGCAAGACTACAAGCCCCTCCGATGTACAACAATGGTGCGCGCAAGCACCGGGTAGTAAGAGGTATGCAAACCTCACTAAACACTAGGCCTAAACCTAGAGCAAGCGCATAGGTGGTGGTCTAATCAACCTAAGCACTTCACAAAGCATCTACGCTAATCACCTAATGAATCATTAAGCACTATGCAAGTAGAGATCACTAAAATGATGTATCAATACCCTAGATATGTTTTCTCAGCTTCACTTCAGTCAAATGGCCGGTTGGGGGGTCTATTTATAAGCCTCACGGAGAAAGTAGCCGTTGGGGACGAAATCTCGCTTTTCTGCTACTGACCGGACGCGTCCGGTCGTCCCGATCATTAGAGCCGTGATCAACTGATCAGACGCTGCCAGTGCCCAGTCACATGCCACCGGACGCGTCCGGTCGCAATTTTGCGTCTCTGGAACCTTTCTGTACTCGATCGGACGCTGCAGTCCTGCGTCTAGTCAATTTGCCGCTAGCGTCTAGTCAGTAATGAATGTGTTGCCGGTGATGATAAACAGTACCATCGGTGCGTACGGTCGATTTCAGTACTCAACGTCTGGTCACTGCTGCTGACGCCTGCTGTTGCCGAGCCTCTTGATCGGAGCGTCCGGTCACTTTCCGCCAGCATCCGGTCACCTCTGTGAGCTCGTTTCTTCATGATCTTGCGTCCGGCTTGGTTCCTATCTTCATGCTTGGACTTTGCTTGATATCTTGGGTCTTCTCTTATGCTTCTAAGGTCTTGCTTATGGTGTTGATTATCAGATTATCACATCGTCTTTGTCCAAGTCACGTCTTGCACTCTATTGGACTACAAAACAATCACTTGCAAATTCATTAGTCTAATTTAGTTGTGTTGGTCATCAAACATTAAATCCAAAGTAAATGGACGTAGGGTCCATTTTCCTTACAATCTCCTCCTTTTTGGTGATTGATGACAACACAACCAAAGCAAGCAAATAATAAAAAAATATTTGCAATTTAAAAACTATCTACTTGCTAGGATGCAATGCATAAGGGCAAGGCTATATGATGCTAAAAGATACCACTTGTAAGACTAAAAGATACCACTTGAAAACTTGCCCTTACAAATGTCCCTATGTGGTATTATGGATTTAAGCCTTGCTTTTGATCCTACAAATTCTTCCCATTATATAGACTAATCCATAATCCACTATTCTCTCTTTCTCGAACTATTACCACTTGTAGACCATTATGATCTTGCTTTTGGTCCTACAAATTAATGCTTGCTTTTGGTCCTCTAAATTCTTCCCCTTTGGAATCAAACACCGAAAATGAAGACATTAGTAGCACAAGGGAGGGTTAAACTTTGTGATCCTTTGTATGTGGAGTGGAATAGGTCACAAAATTTGACTCTCACATTATATAGACTAAGCTTCCCCTAAATATATGCATACATAAGGTAGAAGGCAAAGCATATGCATAATTGGCATATTATTGCTCAAGGGAATTTAATCTATATAATGCATGGAGAAAGCATATAAATATCAAAATAAAATCAATATGATGATATCAGTTTAGAAATATCACATGTGGAAACCAATTTGATTTCTACCACTTGCAATATGTGGTGTATACTTGAAGTATGATGCTTAACTCCGGGGACTCCATTTTTCTTGCAATGAGACTACTACACACATGGTAAGCTTGAAAATGTGTTAGTCTCAAAGCATCCAAGTTGTAGAGTAACCTCCCCCTAAATTTGTGCACACAAGTATGGAATACTTGTAGGAGACATGCACATTGATTTTAGAATAAAGAATACCACTTGAAAGATGACATCACATGAATGTGAGAATCATTTTAGAAGGTGATATTTGGGAGAAATTATCCACAATTTAGACTTTTGCACATATTAGATGAACAATTGTAAAACAAGCTATGTGTCATGCTCCTAAACAATTTAAACCATGTAGGTTTGCTCCAAGGGTCAAGAGTGAAACCGAGCAAGCCTACCATATGATTTACCTAGTGTATGCATGACAAGAGATTAAACATGCAAATGCAAACCTAGGCATGAAAAGTAACTAGATGCTAAAAGATACCACTTGAAGGAAATTAAATCTCACTTGTAGGAAATTAAATCTAGTTACCTAACATGGGAAGGAGAATTTGGGTCCATAGTATTCACTAACCCAATTGGCAATGACTTTGCCCATAATGATGCATCCCATGAAATGCACCCATACTTTGCTAAGTCTCCAAATTCCCTAATGTCCATTGGACTTCTCACTTTCCTTTTGGGATCCAAACCTTCTTGGTGCTCTTCATGTTGGAAAAGATCTTCTTTGGCACCCAAAAGCGTTTGACCCCATTGTTGGCTTGCTTGTTCACCTTGATGGACACCACCTTGTCATTTTTCTTCTTCTTTAACAAGTATGGTGTGGAAGCCTTCTTGTCCACCTTGGTGTAGGTGTTGGAGAGCTTGCTTGTTTGTTTTTTCTCTTTCTTCTTGGCTCCTCCCCCATTCTTCACCTTGCACTCATAAGACTTGTGACCTTCCTTGTGGCATACATAGCAAACCACGGTTTGTTCTTCATCAAGCTTCTTCACTCCCTTGACGATGTTATCTTGATGAAGTTGGGTTTTCTTTGTCTTGCCTTTCACTTGAGTCAAGTCCTTGGTGAGGCGAGTCACTTCTTGCTTAAGTTACTCATTCTCCATTGCAACCTCTTGTGTGCATGTATCTACAACAACTTTCTCAATACAAACTTGGTTGCACAAAGGTGAGTCTAAACATAAATCATTGCAAGAAGTTGAAGCATCCTTTTAGGCATGTTAAAGATAGAACTTTTCTTTTTAGATGCCTTGGTGGGGATTGTACCGACGTCTTCAAACTTATCAACTTTATTAGTTAGCTCATCACAATGTTTGCATATGGTTTTCAATTTAGCAAGCAAACTTTTATAAGCTTCTTGTTAGCTAGCTAACTTTTCTTTTAATTTTGCATTTTTTTACAAGTTGCTCATCATTGATTGTGCATGCATTTGTTGTTACACTAGCCTCAAGTTGCTCAATTTTAGTAGATAGTTCAATATTGAGATTAGCAAATATCTCATATTGTTCAAGCAAAGTTTTATATGCTTCTTGTGAACTATCTAGCTTTTTTTGCAACATTTTTAGCTTCTTTTGTTGACTAGTGCAAACTTTAGCATAATTAAGATTTTGTTGCACAAGTTCATTAAGAGAAGGCATTTCATCATCACTATCACTCTCACTAGAGGATGAGCTTTCGTTACCTCGTGCCATAAGGCACATACAAGAGAGCTTGATGATGAGTGCTTGTGGCCTCGCCTCTTGTGATGGTGTTCTTCTTCACTTGAAGAATCATCATATGACCTTATTGATGTGAGGGCTTTGACCTTGCACGCCTTCTTCTTTGTCTTGGGTGTGGGCTTGTTTGGACAAACTTCCACAAAGTGCCCCCTCTCGCCGTATCCATAGCACCCTTTCTTTCTTTGCACATTTCTTTGATTGGTAAAAATGAGATCTTGAATTTGGATGGGCACACCCTTGACATTGAGCCTTTGGATCATCTTCTCCACCTTGTTGATAAGTTTGATTGATTCTTCATCAAGGTTGGAGGTGGAGGAGGAAGATTGATCATCATCACTTGAATCTTCACCATCATCATCATCATCATCTTGTTCATCTTCACATGAGGAGCTTGAGCTTGAGCTTGTTTCAACTCGCTTGCCCTTCATCTTCCTTTTCTCACTACATGTGAGAGCTTTGCCTTTGCTTGATGAAGAGGCTCCTTCTTGACCCATCTTGTGTGACATTTCAAATGCCACTATCTTGCCAGTGACAATGAGCGG